TGGGGGGGACATCAGGGAGTGATGTTGGAGTGATATTGTTGGGGGGGGGGGGGGGGGGGTGTAGTGGAAACCCTAAGTTGAGGCTTGAAACAATGATTGAGAAGGGACAAACCATAGAAGCTCAAGTGAATGAAACGCACCTGAGTGACAGAAGGGTTGGATCCTGGCTCCACCCCCTCCTAGGCCTCATTTAAGCATTGGCATCAGAAATGAGGGGCTTTTGCTAGAGGTCTATGCTTGTATGAGGTCTTCCAAAGCTAAGCAGATTTTTGTTCTTTGTTTCTGTGTTCACAACTGTTGTGTTTGAGCACATCCTCACTTATTACAGACTTAGTTTCTCTGCTGTTGTTGTTGTATTTTCCATCATGTTGCAGCATTACAGTAGGTAATTAAGTAGGTTTTTGGGGGGGTAACATTGTTGGAGTGAAGCTGGGAGGTTACATTGCAATGAGACCAGGATGATGTTGGGGTTTCACTGGGGGATGACATCAGGGAGTGATACTGGGGTGACACTGGTGGGGGCACACTGGTGTGACATTGGAGTGACGTTGGGTCAATGTTGTGCAGTCATGCTGTAGGGTGATGCTGGCGTATTTCTGGGGGATGAGATAAAGGAGTGATGTTATTGGGGGGGTGATATTACTGGGGAGATGCTGAGAGGTAATACTCTATGATGTGGCAGTGATGTTGGTGGATGATGCTGGGGTATCACTGGGGCTGATATTAGGGAGTGATGCTGGGTTAATGTTGCTGGAGTGACACTGAGGGGTGATGGGAGCGACATTGTTGAGTTGACACTGGAGTGATGTTGGAGTATCACTTGGGATTGACATCAGGGAGCATCACTGGGGTGATGCGATGACAGTGGTGATGTTGGGATGATGCTGAAATGATATTGGGAAGTGATGTTGGAGTATCACTCTGTTTCACCATCAAGGAGCGATGCTGAGGAGTAACATTGTTCGAGTGACTCTGAGTGTTGATACTGCTGTAACATTGGAGTGAAACTGTGGTGATGTTGCAGAGTGACGTTTCGGGGGTGCTGTTGGAGTATCGTGGGGGGGGGGGGGGGGGGTGTGACATCTGTGAGCGATGTGGGACAGCCCAGGGATTCTCCTGACTGGAGCACTTGGTGAGTTTCCCCGAAGCCACTGAGCACACAGTCTTCCTTGCCTGCCCTCCTTGCACCCCAATAACCAACCTTCTTCATGTCACTGTGCCTCATGGCCTTGGGCATCTCACTGCAGTGCTGCTGATAACAGCAACATGCGCAGGGCACGGCCACGTTGCTCTGAGAAAGGAGTGCCCCAAAAGCTCGCCTCCAAATTGTAGTATACTTTTATCCAGAATTGTCACTTGACATTTACTGTCTTTAATTGTGTAAGTATATTTTCTTCTAATGTATTTTGTTTTGAAAGGAGTGGTCACATGCTTTTTGGTGTCCTGAATTACACTAGAACTTGAGGTAGAAGATGAAGAATCAGATCCAATATTGCAGAGCCACTGCTGACGCCAAATCCACGCAGAGGAGAACTGGTTGTGTTCAGGAGTTACTCCAGGATGAGCTGCTACTGGTCATCAAGCAAGTAGCAGTTTGTTATCCATACACAATACTGTATTCCTTGTTCTACTTTTTTTTTTTTTTAAACAGTGACAGCATGTGTTCTGATTCAATGCGTTTGAAAAGTGTGGTTTAAGGACTGTCAGCTGAGAACAGCAGTGGACCATTGCAGGGGGAAGGCATGGAGAAGGAAATGGGGAAAGAAAGGGGAAAGTCTGGAAAAGGAATGCAGAAGTCATAGAGGGATGAAGGGGAAAGGATAGGATACCTGTAGAGCATCCTAAAAAGCAGTAACAAACTCTGGGGGGGGGGGGGGACTGTAGAGTGCCAGGTTTTGAGATGGGTATGTATTTGTTTGTGTGTGTATATGTTGTCATTACCTGTTTGGGTCAGGAATGTTGTCACTTCTGAGCTTCTGTAGGGGAAGATCTCAAGCAACTGGTGCAGTCCATGCAGACCTGTAGGATGGGAGAGTGCTTGGTAAGAACAGCCCCTCAGCCCTCAGCTGGACAAGCTTCTTCCATGTGCCCAGACAGTGAGCTGTTCAGCTGTATCTGGCTGCACTGCTCCAGCTCAGAGCCCACTGCCTGCAGCTGCATCTTTTACTTCCCTCCCTCCTGCACAGAGGCCCAAGGTTGCTCCCACAGTCCCCTGCCCATCCCCAAAATGCCAGAGATGATATTTGGCAGTGGGATGGAGGAGTTTCACCACCCTGTTTTCCCTCTGCCTGCAGCTCTCTCCTTCTCTGCCACACGGGGCTCCCATCTGTGAAACAGGAATGGTTTGGGTTGAAAGAGTGTTCTGGCAGGAGCAACTGCTGCAGCCGGCTGGGGAGGGTCTGCATACCCTGTGCCCTTGTGCAGTCTCTCCAGGTGCAGCAGGACCAGAGAAGGGAAGATGAAAAGCTGCAGCTGAGCCTGATAGACCTGCACAACTCTTGCACTGTCTTTTAGAGGCAGCTGTGACACACTGATTCTTTGTATGCAGGTGAATTAATTTTTTCCATCTGTAAACTGATGTGGAGAACTATAGTTTTCATTAATCTTTGTGGAAACAATGTGATAGTCCACATGAAACTCAAAACTGCTCCTTTGTGCAGCCTGTAGACTTGCTAGGGCCTTAAACTATCCATTTTATGGCATTAAAAAGAATAAGAAGCCAAAAATGAAACTTGGAGTGCAAGAAAGGCACTAGGAAACAAATACATTAAAATACGAACAGGAAAGAGTCTGAGTAAACATGAATATAGCACCACGCTTTCTGCTAATGTGCTTTCATTTCACTATCATTAAATTTGCTGGGCAGTTAGATTGTGATATGTGATTTTTTAAAAACAATGTAACAAATGTACTGACCAAAAAAAACCAAAAAAACCATGACCACATGAATTTGATGTTTTTTTTTTTTTTTTTTTTTCCAACAGATATTCATAAGCACTTAGCACAACCTTCCTGGGTTTGGAGAAGTTTCCCTGTTTTCTTCGTCTTTCTTCCCCCGCGGCCCCGCCCCAACCCTTCAATTCTAAGTTTGTGTTCTTAACGCGTCATCGCAAGAAAGAGAGAACGGATCGTCAGGGACTGCGCTGCAGATGTACGTCAAACCCATCAGAACTGTTCTTTCCGTGGTCTCTGCTGCCACCGCGTGGCCAATATGCTGAACTGCAGCTGTCTTCATTGCTGTTGCAGGCAGTACAACGCATGTGCACAGATATGCGGAAGTGGCATTTTAACCGCTCTGTGCAGCGAATCTTCTGCTCTCTATTGTGATTAGTCCTCCAGGTAATAGCGGGCATGCGCCCGACAACTTAAGAATAGCAACTGTTTCTACCAACTACTTCAGGTCTGGGTCTGGGTGAGCCATCAGTTCGTGGACCACCGGATCAGTGATATTTCTCCCCAGAGCACAGAAACAAATGGAAGTGGGGGGACCTGAGTGTCTGGGATGTAGCCTTAATTTTAGCCTTGACTGTGACGGTGATCTAAAAGCCCCCAAGTGAAGAATTATCTTGGGATGGAACAAAGTATCCTGACAGTTTTAAGAGAATTGATATTTGTGGCTGTAGCTGCAAAAGTCATGTTTTGTAGAGAAAGCTGAACTTGGTCGTAGGTGAAGAAAAGATATAAATTGGCACCTTCATACTCCCTCTTACCTGCTGGCAAGGCCAGGGAGATGGGAACGAAAGGAGTTACTGCTGAGATCCATAAGCCAGAAGCTGTCACTACGCCTGAACGTCTCTTGAGACAACAATACGCATGCACCAGCATGGGGACAACAGTACGCATGCGCCTGTCCGAGAATGCAGTACGCATGCGCCCGTTTCAGAAAATCACTACGCGTGAGCCAATTTGAGAACAGCACTACGCATGCGCGAGTATCAAGAACGCATTCCGCATGCGCCACTTTAAGAAAAACACTACGCATGCACCAGTGTGGAGACAATACTACGCATGCGTGACGCTTCAGAAAATAGTACGCATGCGCCAGTCCGATAATGAAGTACGCATGTGTCTGACTGAAGTGAGCATTGTGCATGCGCCAGTGTTAATACCGAACAACGCATGCGCCATCTTGAGAGTTGCAGTACGCATGCGCCAATATCGAGTATTCACTACGCATGCGTCGTTCTGCAGACAGCACTACGCATGCGTGTGTCAAAACAGCATATGCCAATCTAGGAGACGCACTACGCATGCACCGGTTTGAGACCTGCAATACGCATGTGCCAATCTAGAAAACGCACTACGCATGCGCCAGTTTGAAAACAGCAATACGCATGCACCAATCTATAAAATGCACCACGCATGCGCCAGTCTGGAGACAGCTCTACGCATGCACCAGTGTTAGTACTGGACTACGCATGCGCCTTTACAAAGAAGATGTGAGTATGCACCAGGTTCAGAACAGCATTACGCGTGCGCCGGTTTGAGAACCGCACTATGCATGCGGCAATATGGAGGACGCACTATGCATACACCAGTTCCAGAATAGTACTATGCATGCGCCAATCTTTAAAACGCACTACACATGCGTCAGTCTGCTGAAAGCATTGTGCATGCGCTAGTCAGGAGACAACACTATGCATGCACATTCCTGCAAACAACAGTACACATGCGCCTGTCCGAGAACGCATTACGCATGCTACAGTTACAGAACGCTACTAGGCATGTGCTGTTTTGAGAACCGTAGTACGCATGCACTTGTCTCAGAGCAGCCTACGCATGTGCCGGGTTCACAATTGTAATACGCATGCGCCGCTTGGATAACGGCACTGTGCATGCGCCACTCTGAGAACGCTCTGTGCATGTGCATGTCCGATTACAGCACTACGCATGAGCGAGTTTCAGAACACCACTATGCATGCGCCGTCTGGAGATTCACACTATGCATGTGGCAATCTCGAAAACGCATTACGCATGCTTCTGTCTCGAGATTACAATGCGCATGCGCTTGTATTGACATCACAATACACATGCCTCAATCTAGTGACAGCACTCTGCATGCGCTAACCTAGAAAATGCACTACGCATGCTCCTGTGTTTGTACCAGACTACGCACGCACCCTTGCAAAAAAAGAAAAAAAAAAAAACTGCGCGTGCACCAGTTTCTGAACAGCACAACGCTTGCGCTGGTTTGAGAACAGTAGCACGCATGCGGCAAACTTGAGAACGCACTAGGCATGCGTCAGTCTCCAGATTACAGTACGCATGTGCTATTATCGATTATGCACTACGCATGCGTCAATCAAGAGACACCACTACGCATGTGTCATTTTTTTTTAAAAAAAAAAAGCACTGCGCATGCGTGAGTTTAGAACAGCACTGCGCATTTGTTTTTAACTGCACTACACATGCGCCATCTCGAGTATGTAGTACGCATGCGTCATTCTGGATAAGGTGCGCATTCGCTCGTCTCGTGAACGCACTATGCCTGTGTTAATGTAGAAAACGTTCTGCACATCTGCCATTGGATAAAGCGCACTGTGCATGTGCTAGTATTAGAAAAGCACTACGCATGCGGCTTTCTTGAGTCTACACCATGTGCGTTTCTCGAGACAATGGTATGCATGTGCTAGTAAAAAAATAGCACTGCTCTTGCGCTGTGTTTCAGAACAGCACTTCTCATGCACCAGTCTTCAGCTATTATGACGCATGCACTAGCCTTTAGCTATTACTGTGCATTCTCCCCGTCCGTATATTACGGCGCATACGGTAGTCTCGAGCCCGCACTACGCATGCGCCAGTTTCCAACTAACACAGCCTTCCCCCGCCTGTTTTTGTTGTAGTTCCGTGCTTTAGCCACGTGCTGGCAGCAGAGACCCTGGAACGAGCGTCACTGTGTAAAGTTACATTGTCCAGATAGAAATGATTATATCCAGATATTTGATAATCCCCACAGAAGCTAATAAACTTGCAAAGATTAAGGTAGAAAGAATCGAGCAGAGAAGGTGATGTTTCATATTATAGCTAAATTGACTTTATGACTGTCACTTGAAAGAGGCCACTGCCTTCTTTTAGTGTGATCTCTACTCCTCATCTGTTTCCTTTTGTAGTGGAATTGCCAGGTCATGGCCTGAACCAATGGTTGAGCACCAGATGAGGAGGCGTGGCTAACCCAGGAGCTCAAGTGCATGCACCGCACCTGAGTGAGCAGGAGGAATAGAGGCAGGATCCACCCCTCCTCATCCTCATTTACGAGTTAGGAGCTGAAGGAGCAGCATCTCTCTAGGTAGAGAGTGTGGTCTTGAACTATCACTGGTTGGCAGGAGTGAGCCAGTTTTTTAATTATTTTATTTTAATCTGCTATTGCTCCATAGTGTTTGTATCCCATTGTAAGGCATCATCATCTTTTGCATACATACAACTTTGCACAAGTTCTGTTTGTCATCCTGGTGAAAATTCACCTTACATGTAAGCTGAGCTGATGGTGAGCTTCCTCCTAAATGTGCAGGCCAGACCCACCAGCCTGCAGCTAATTTTGCTGCTTCCCCTTACTCCAGACTATATGGCAAGATCATAAGGCACTGGTTCAGATACAGAAAAAATTCCTTCACTTACCAGCATACATTTATCTGCTTGTACCTGTGTTAAAATAGCAGGATGTACTTGTCTGTAAAACTATCAGACCCTTTCTACAACTAGCGAATTTTGGCATGAAATATGCAAACTCGATGAAGGAACTCATGTTTCAAGAAGGTATACAACCTCAAGCTCAGGCTACTATAAAATAGAATCCTGTAACAGGTACAAATTTGTGCATTCAAATGTGGAAAGCTTTGACTCTATTTTTAGATTCAAGACTTTCCCCTCTGAAAAGAAACAGGCCTGCAATGGCTAGGAGACATGCTGCCAGCATAGCTACTGGGGACTTTTTTTCAAGCACTGGAAGCCAGTGTTAACAGCAGATCAGCTCCTGCAGTGAAAGGGCACTATGATGCCAGACCCCAAAGATTGTAGAGAGCACAACAGAGAGAGAACATTGGCCAGACCCTTACTGGCAATAAAGTAATAACAGCCAGTGAGCCCTTTAGATGCTTCCAAGCATTAAGAATTAGCTCTTGGAAACAGCAAGTCACTAAGAGATCCCAGACAAGCAATTCAAATGAGAAATAGAGGTAGGCACAAAACTTAAGGACTTCGGCAGCAGCTGAAGCCTCTGATCAGAAACAAGCTGTTATTATTACTGTCATCTGAGAGGCAGATTAATGCTAACAGCAAGACTCAAAAGGCAGTTCTTGAAGGTGGGTGTAAGGATAGGCGGCAGCAGATATAGCTGCTTTAAACCACTTTTAGATCACCCAAGAAAGGTAGAGATCACAATTAAAAAATAAAGAAGGAACCCTGACCCCTTTCTGAGGGTCAGGGCCTGCTGAACACTCCAAAGGAGGCAGTTTTCAAGTAGAGATGCTTCCATTGCCGCTGTCAGACCTTAAATGAGGTTAGGGAGGAGTTGAGCAAGGGTCCATCCTGTCTGGTCCCACAGGTGAATTGTTTCCACCTGTGCTTGCAGGGTTAGCTATGCCCCTCCAGCAGGTGCTCAATGACTGGTTCAGGCTACAACCTTACAGTTCCCATTACAGGGAGAGATACAGAGGGATTTTTTTTCCTCTCCATGTTCACAAGCTGTTTAGATATTGATTCAAGAATGCATCCTTCATGAACATTCCATTATTGATCTTACGTGGTAGGAATTTTCTGTTAGCGTAAATACAGACTAGTTTTCAAAGTCATGCGGGAGTCCTTCCATCCGCTCCTGATCAGCTCAGAATTTAATTGAAAGGTCAGTGTGAGTTCTAGTCTTCCTCCTGCTTTGCTCCTCTTTCTCCTGTATTTTAAACATAGTACTTCTAAGAAAGAATTGTTAATGCCACTTCTCACAACTATAAATCAAGCAGCTTATTCCAGTGAGTCCTTCAGCTGTAGGTTTCAAACAAGCACTGCTAGTAAGAATCTGCCATATTTCAATACAGAACTTAGCTGCAATCCCATTAATAGTCTGCCTTGTGTTTTTAAGAATATAAGAAGCTTGGATATGTAAAGTCCATTTTATTTTTAAAAACAAATTCATTTAGGGGTATATAAATTATGGTAGCATTTTTGAGATTTAACTTATTTGGGAGGAATGGGGGTTAATGAATTTTTCAAGCTATATAGGCCAAAAGAGGAGAGATTATATTAACCACTTCTGCCCTGAGCAGGACTGCTACGTCACTTAACCCAAGCCTGCCAACAAATGAAATACTCAGAAATTGCATTAGAAGCTGTCCATCTGTGAGGAGCAGAAAGAAGCAGCCAGATGCACCACAATGATGCACATGGTCACACCAACTCAGAAAGTGATAATTAAAACATAATTTTCTGTAAATTTGCAGTATCAAGGTCTGGCACAAGAGACAGAGTACAGCAGGCCACCTTCCTGTTAGTCTCAACTCTGAAGATGTAGAAACAAGGAAATAAGGCTAGGAGAAAAAAGGAAATGGAAACTAACATATCATATCCCACTCAGTCCGAAAGCAGGCTCTCCAAAACTTCATGAGAGATAAATTAGGTCTCAAAGGAGATACTAATACTTCTAGAAGTAAGGGTGCTCCAAACCTCATCTGAACTCTTCAACCATATTCTCTTGCAGAATAGATGAGTGTCACTGTGTTATCCCCAAGAAATAAAAGATCACCCCATCTTGCTCAGGAAGATAAGAGAGCCTAAAGTAAGAGGGCTTCCCAAGGCAGGTTTCTAAAC